TTTCATTTATTATTGATAGTAATTTTCAAAACAAAAATATTTAATAAATAAAAATGTTTTTTGAAAAGAATTTACAAATTACTTTTTACATCATATTTTGTGATTCAAGTAGAACAAAAGTAATGACTCCAAGGATGGAGGAACTCTGAAGTTTTGAAAAAAAATATTCCCCAAGAAAGCTTTCTCAGGTTACTCTTGTTGATATATGCATGATCCTTTTGTGTTACTTTCCTCAGATAATTGGAGTTCATACAAATTGATATATGGTGCGATGTTGGGTTTGTAATCCCATTTCCCCAGTCAAGTTTTAGGTCAGATTTTTCTCCAAGTTTATTAGTTTGGTTTTGGGTTTGCATGGTTTGATGCCTCTATCCCAGATTCTCTATCTGGACTTGATGCAAATTTATTCTAGCTGAGCAACTAGACAAGGGAAATATCTTTTCTAAGAAGCGTTGGAACAACTGTTAACTTTTTGAGTTTTCTCTCGCCAAGTTTTGAGTTTGATTTAAAATCCCCATAATTTTGATTTATTTCATGTTAACTTCTTAGATTCCCAATTGAAGCCGAGATAATACTTCTCTTTGAAAGTTGTTATCGCCATGAAATTTCATAGTTTCTCCCCATAGAAGTTTGTGCAACCATTACTTTTGATATCAAACAATGTATTTGGGTTTCCCTCGATGATGTGGTGTTGTACTCCCAATGAAGTCAACACGAGATCCCAAGTTAAATTCTCGACGATGTGGTTTTCAGCTTCCCTAGTGAAGTCAGTATTATAATCTCCAGTGGAAATCTAGACGATAAGACATTGTCTTCCCTAGTGAAGTCTGTATGATATTCTTCGGTGAAGCCCGAAGGAGGGTATTATATCCCTGCATCTGTATTGGTTTATTGCTATCAAATTGTGATGTGATTATTTTAAAGCCATGTTTCTTCCAAATGGAGTTAAGCCTTGAAGTAGGAATTTGTTTCCTCAGTTGGAGCTTACTCTCTTATGAAATCTTCATCCTGGACGTGATTTAGTCGAGTGTTGACTTTACCCAAGCTAGTTTTGTCTTGTTATTCCCAATAATATATGTCTATTTTGTCAGCATATACATGATAACATTCATACATTCATACACACATCATGCATAGCTGAATTAAAATTCATTGCTCATTTGTATTCATTGATGTTTTTGTTGGCATATTACCCTACTTTGCAGAGTTATGTTACCCTCTCTCCAATAGAGTGTCAACCTTAAGCAGAAAGTGTATATCCTTTCAATTTCCCCACTGAGTTATCCCTTATGGACGAATTTTTCTTTAGCCTTCCTATTCAACTCATTTTTGGATGGAGCGTGATCCCCTTTTGAGTTTATTTTTCATTAGGTGTTGTCTTAGTTGACTGTTTCACTCTGGTTTATTTCTAGTTTGAATTCGTGTTCCCCGACAATATTATTATTCTGATTTATGCATGCTTTGAGCCCTGTTTTGAGAATATACATTTATTTTGCACGAGAAGACTTTATCTTCTCAGCAGGAATGTATTGGCATTTCCCCAAAGAAGTCATATTTCTTTCCCCGATAGGCTTCTTATAACAGTAAGTGGAAGGTCTCTTCATTTGAGTAATCTGTACTTCCCCAGCAAGTCTGTTAGTTCCCAGAAAAAGATTCATGTTATTTACTCTGATGAATGGTAGTCTCGTCATAATGGTAGATAGTTTGTTATTTAGATTTGTTACTCCGATGAATGGTAGTCTCGTCATTATGGGAGATATTTCGTTATTGAGATTTGTTATTCCGATGAATGGTAGTCGCGTCATTATGGGAGATAGTTCATTGTTGAGATTTGTTACTCCAATGAATGGTAGTCTCATCATTATGGAAGATAATTCGTTGTTGAGATTTTTTACTCTGATGAATGGTAGTCTCGTTATTAAGGGAGATATTTTGTTGGTGATATTTATTACTCCGATGAATGGTAGTCTCGTCATTATGAGAGATAGCTCTTTGTTGAGATTTATTACTCTGATGAATGGTAGTTTCGCCATTATGGGAGATAGTTCGTTGTTGATATTTGTTACTCCGATGAATGGTAGTCTCGTCATTATGGGAGATAGTTCATTATTGAGATTTGTTACTCCAATGAATGGTAGTCTCATCATTATGGGAGATAGTTCGTTGTTGAGATTTGTTACTCCGAAGAATGGTAGTCTCGTCATTATGGGAGATAGTTCGTCATTGAGATTCACTTTGCTCTAAAGAGTTCACATGTTTCCAGTCATAAGTATTGATGCTAATTATTTGTTACCTACCCTAATACTTGTATTTACCGGTATTATCTTACCATTGCTATCTTCTCTGTGAGTGGATAGTTCACAATCAGCTGTTGGTATTTGTCATCCATTACTTTTTCTTCATTTAGTGAGTTGGTGATGCCTTATCTCCTCTTTAAGCTTTACCCCAGTAGAGAGTCTTTTGTTCCCTAATGATTTATTTTCCTGGTTGGAATCTCTTTTTGGCCTTTTATTTCTTTTGGTTTTATTTTTTCGCTTCTCCAGTGGTGTCACGTGTCGCCTTTAGAGTTTATCGGTTTGCATGCACAATCATAAGTATTGCATGGCATCTTAGGGATAAAAATAGGGTTTATTTTATATTTAAGTATCTTCAATCACGTCGAGATGAAGATTTTAACCTTATTATCTCCATATAGAAGATACTTAAATAAGGGCAGCAGTTATACCCTAATTTTTGCCCCTAAGATTTCTCATCATCTTATATCATCAATACATCGAGATCGTGCATTAGGGTTTGGTTATTTTTTCTAATTTATCCCATCTTTAAGTTTTCTCTTGAGAGATTACCAAGCACCTTAAATCGTGTATCTTGTATATATGTATTTTTATATTTTACTGACCTCTAACAAAAATCCAAAAATATGTCTTGTTTATTTTGTTTCTTGTAAGACAGGGTTTCCGATCAAGAAATTTAGGTGATGGTTCCCCGATTAGGGTTGTGGTTTGTTCAAGCCCAAGATGGTTCCAAAAATCCTATGTTTTAGAGTGGTGATCTATAATCTTAGGTCACGCTATCCTCAAGCTTCATTCAGCATAGTTAAGGCGAGTTTGGTGGCTAAATTCTCAAGACTCTTCGAGATAGGTTCATGTGTTTATTTTCATGCCTTCTTCAACAAGTAATCTCAAGTTCTGACAAGTGTGAGCATGATTTGATCAAAATTTAGTCATCTCAAGTTCATATGTGATTAAGAATACCCTGGGTTATGGAAAAAGATAAAGTCTATGGGTGGATTCAAAGTTGTCGGACCAAAAGTCAATATTTGCAAGTTTAAGTTCAAATGATCATAACTTCTTCATTGTTCAGTATTTTTGAGTCATTCTTAGAGAATATGAATCTCCTTGACATCATCTCTAATTTCTCTTTTCAAGTCGAGACCTAATTATGTGCATAAGACCATCACAAGTTTGAGTACGTTAGAGGTCTTTTTGTGACTTTGACCTAAATTCACATGACTTTCATCCAACTTACAAGGATCATAATTATTTCAATCTTCATCGTTTCGGGTTGATTCTTTTTGCACCGTTTTATAAATGGAATTATCTATAAACTTACTTTAAAGGTCGAAGTCAAATTGTGCTTAGAAGGGTATGGAATTTGTGGGAACTTTAGAGGTCATTTTTGGGTTTAAAAGTTTCTTAATCATTTGATTTGAAATTTATGTGGCCATGCTTTCTTTTTCAGAGATTATTCTTGTGGTCATTCAAGTCAAGAGCTATGATATAAAGTTTTCAGTTTCAAGATTCATTGATTGTTTGTTTCTTGTGATACGAATAATTTGTGTTGAAGCATTAACAATTATTGAATTAAAAATTGCATTTTTTATCAAAATTCCTAAGGCATTTGGTTCATGATATTCTCAAAATCCAAATCCTAAGTCTACTTGTTTTAAATGTAAAGATTCATTTATTTTAATTCATGTCACTTAGAACTTAAAGGTTTTGCATCAAGAATTCATAAGTTTAAAGATGGAAGGAAAGTTTCTTTAATCTCCACCACTTGAAGAAAAATTTACAAGAGCATTCCAATTTCTATCTTCATCATATCACAAGAATATCTCAATTTTTATATTTATGCCACACAAACCAATTCAAGAGCTTTCTTTGGCCAAACTTTTCAAGACAAATCATTCATGATTCAATAGTTCTCAAGCCCAAAATCCAAGTATTTTTCATTCATCATCCCTTCAAACTTCTCTCATGATTCATTCAAAATCCATAAACAAATTCTTCAAGTTGCAATTACAAGTTACCAAGATCCAAAACATACAAGAATGTTGAAGTTGCTTACAAGCTTTCAATTACAAAAAAAAAATGTTACAAGTTTATACTACTTGAATTCAAGAATTTCAAATTTTCTAAAGCATAGTTTGCAAAGTTACAAGAAAATTCAAATTCTTGATTTCGTCTAAAAAGCATCTTGAATACATTTATTTTGAAGCTCAAAGACTTTTGAATTCTTGCTTGCATTTCCCAAACTCAATGCTACGGTTTTAAGTCCTCTAGAGTCACGATTGCATCATGTTTCCTTTGAAAATTCGTCAAGATCCATAACCACAATTCTTACTATCTTCCATATTACTCTTATTGCATTCAACACATGAAACAAAAAAAAATCTAAGTTAATATCAAACAATTTAAAGAAGAGGTTTTGAGATTCTTTTTTCACAAATAAAAATAAAGTTTTGTCACGGGTGTCAGAACAAGCAACTCATTGGGGTAATTAGTTCAAGTTTAAAACTCAAAACAAACCACCATAAGCCCACAATGCTGCAATACAAGTTATGTTCACAAGTTGAGCCTAATCATCACATTAACATTTCCTGCAAAATTTCAAATCAAACAAAGCTGTAACAGCTACAACATGCCCATGGTTTTGTCCACAGGTCCACTATAGCAATTATCAGAAGAGCACACGTGTTTTTAAGCCCAAATTGCAGCAGTATGTTATTACAGACAACACAACAAGAAAATAAAAATCATGCTTGGAGCAAAAACAAAAACAAAAACTCTGGTTTACTCCTCTGCATGCTTCATCCGCCGCCATTCATCATACTTCCACCTCCTCTTCTCTCTGGAACCATCGCCTACACCCTCCTTACGCCACTGTCGGAGCTCTCTCACCCTCTATTCATCACTCTTCTTTCATCAAAAGGTTGATATTTAGTTTCTAAACCTGAATCCCTTCCTCTTTTGGTGTTTCAGACTTGATTTGTGTTAGTTTAAACTCAAAGATTTTCGAAGTTTGTTTTGTAGATCTACTATATTTGATAAGCTTTTCTTAAAAATCAGATTTGAGATTTGGAATCAGAAAGGAAAGATGGACAAGAGTGATAAAAAATGTTTGATTCTGACACTGCTCATGGCGGAACCACCGCGAGCTTTGCAGGAAGCAGTCGCGCTCCGCCATGACTCTTCCCTTTCCAGCCAGAAACTCTCTCTCTCTCTCCCTCCCTCCCTCCCTCCCCCTCTCTCTCTCTCAATTGTTTAGAAGATTTAATGCATCTGAAGCTTAGTATTTTTAAGAGATTTAATATATTTGCTTGTTTGGTTTCAATCCAAAGGTGAGAATTCTACTTTGACTTCTTGTTGGTTAGATGGTTATTTTTCTTAACTTTTACCTTATGTTTTATGATAGTCCCTTCATCTCCTCCCATCTTTTTTAATTTCAAAAAGAAAATCTCCTCCCTCCTTTTCAAAATTCTTTTTGTTTTCTAACTTGAGCTGCTTTCACAATAAACTTGGACTTAGATCCATACATTTTCAAAAATATTTTCTTGATCAAACTTTTACAAACTTAATCATACTTTGACATTTTTTTGTGAGAAGACTAAAAGTCAATCAATCTTATTCAAATCATTTTTCCACTTTGCCTTTTTACTTTAAAATTTTCTCAAAAGATTAGATACTTGTTCATCCTTGTAGTGATGCGAGCTACTATACTTTTAGGATATATAGTGAAGTGAGGTATTTTCCACTTGGGTGTTGAGTGAGACTATAGATTTTAAAAATTCAAGCTATATCCTCCACTTTGAGATTATTCAAATTCACATTTCTCATAATCATGGGTAGTAAGTATGTTTTTCACTCGGATATGACGATGATGTCTCGTCTCTTAAGATTAACCAACACACATGTATTTTAAAATTTTTTAAAGGCGAACTATGAGTATCCTGATTCCCTATTGCACGGAAGGTGGTACGTAGACACTAAAGGTTTGCAACTGCGGCGGGTGTAAAAATTGTAAAAAATATTTCTCTTCTCACCTCCACCATCTATTTTTATATATAACACTTATAGCCAAAATACACAAATTTTTAAAGAGGTTCCTGTAGAGTACCATATATGTTTAAGGTTTTAATACCTTCTCTTTGCATAACCGACCTCGTACCTAGATTTTCTTCCCCTTTTTTTTTGTTATTCGCTCTTTTCCCATTCTTCTGAAAACAGTAAAACGCGGTGGCGATTTTTATTTGATCTGTGCGAGTTAAGTTACTCCAATGGCTTAGTCTCAATATTTTTATCAGGAGCGAAAAAACAAAATTAAAGACAAAATGAACAGGAAGACTTTCACCAATGTTGAGTTTAAAGTTAGCAAAGTGGCGAGTATTTTATTTTTGAGACAGATCATGAGAAAGTTTAGTGGGGGAATATTTGGAATACTCTAAATATGCCAAAACATGATTTCATAACCTGGATGGCAGTCCAAGATAGGCTTAAAACTAAGCAAAGATTGAAGAAATTGGGCATTGTCGATAATAGCTACTGCTTCATTTGTGGGGAGTATGACGAAGACATTGCCACTATAGCAAGTATTGTTGGGGCAAAATGAAAAGATGGCTGAACTGGAATATTCTTAGAAATGATCTACAGAATATTGTGAGATGGCTTAGCAGAGGAAAAGCAAAAAAGTTTAGGAGCTGGGTGTTTTCTGCTGCAATGGCGGCGTTGGTGTATCACATTTGGAAAAATCAGAATGATTGATTATAATGTGACAATACTAAGTTATAAGATTTGCTCACATGTGAATTTGGCATTACAATTGAATTATCTGATTGATTTTTGTTTGTTTGTAAAAAAATAATATTCCGTCTATCAAATATAGATACTAACACTTATGCTAATTAGAGCCAATTTGCAATAAGTTACTAGTTGCTATCATAATATACCATATAAACTAAAGTTGCATTATCTATTACAAAGTCTTACTCTCATTCACAATCTAGACAAGGTTGAAGTACCATTGAGAATCTAGACAATGTTGAAGTACCAAGCATTAAAGACAGCTTGCACATAAGCACGAACTCATATAAATATAAAAATATAAATAGATTTATTGGATATACAATGATAATGTAAAATAATTTTACATTGTCATTCAATAGAAAACAATAATATATTATATTAATAAAAAATTTTAAATAAAAGGTGAAATAATTAAATACATAATTGTATTTGACTAATAGTATAAAATTACCTTACACTATCAATACATCTCTCTCATACATATCTTGTGTATATTTTTGAATAAAATGTATTATTTTATATATTTTTTTTGAATGTTATCATTTAAACTCCGACTATTTTATTATTATAAATATTATTATTTATTTATTTAAAGATTATAAAATAGTGGAGGGTTTTAAACCACTTAAATGATAAAAATTTGAAGAAAAAAAAGATAAAAATAAATAATAAGAAATTGAGAGAGAGAAAAACACAAAATATGGACCTCACTCAAAAATACAAACAAAATATATGATGATAATCCACACTTATATTGATAATGTTAATACACATTCAAATAGATATGTATTATTAAATGATTTTAATTACTATGTACTGTCAATTTAAATTTTTTTATATTAACAGTGCATCACAACCACTCAATTATGTAATTTTAAAATAAATTAAAATAAAAATTTAATATTTTCATAAAATTAACGGTTGTGATTAATTGACGGTGTAAATTTTTTTTACACTGTCGCTGTATTCCAATTGAATTCTTATTAAATAGTCACTTATTTTTTAAATTTTAATTCTTTTTATTCATTTTCTTAAGTAACCACTATTTTCAATAAATTCTTTTTTAAACTTAATAATAAATATTAATAATAATAATAATAATAATAATAATAATAATAATAATAATAATAATAATAATAATAATAATAATAATATTATTATTATTATTATTATTAATAATAATAATAATAATAATAATATCAAGTTTCAACTAATTTGTTAATAATTCTACGTATTCAGTCATAGCAATCCATGTTTGAGTTAATTTATTAATAATTTCATTTACCATAGACATAAATAATAATTAAATAAAAAAGGTAATAAAAAAATAAAATAAATAGAAAAACTAATAACTCCCCACTAAAAAAAAAAGTCTTTAACCCCACGTAGTCATTTAACTCATGATCCAATTAATTAATAATAAAAAAAACTGAAATCTATACATATAAAAGATATATAGTTTTGTGCTGACCTTTTTTTCTTCTTCAATACTATCCTTTAGTAACTATCTATTTTAACTTTTTTTATTTATGCATCACTTTTGATATTAACCAGAGTGCGTTCGCATGGGTATTGGTATGATACACAAATTTGTTTTTAAAATATAATAAAAATAAAATAATTTTTTTAAAGAAATAATAAATTGGTGTCTATAAGTTTTTTAATATATAAAAATATTCGATTCAATTATATATATTTATTTTATATAAATATTATTTTTATTTGAGTTATTGTTAAAAATATTTAAATAACATTAAAGTTGTTCTATTATTATTCAATGTTTTGATGAGTAACTTTATGTTCACATAAATATTTAATATTTTGATCAATAATTACATATTTTCGTTATTATTCAATATTTTGATCAGTAATTTAAGATATAAAAAAATAAAATAAAAGGTAGACAAAATTATTTAACAAACAAAATTGAACATTATTAACTTCATATTCTCGTTAATATTCAATATTTTAATCAATAACTTCATGTTCTCGTTAATATTTAAAATTTTGATTAGTAACTTTGTGTTCCCGTTAATATTTAATATATTGATCAATAATTTCGTATTCCCGTTAATATTTAATATTTTGATCAACAACTTTGTGTCCTCGTTAATATTGATCAGTAACTTTCTATTCACGTTAATATTGATCAATAACTTTGTGTCCCCGTTATTATTTCATATTTTCTTCATGATAATAATTTTTTTTCGGAAGTCTCCTTTTTTCTTTATCAACAAATAAAAATAAATTTAAAATTTAAAAATAAAAAGTAAAAAATAATTGTACCAAATGAAATAGAGCTTAGATGATGTTAAATTAATTTATATTCTCTTAACTATGCACTATTCTAGTTAATCATTTATAAATATATAAAATGCACAAACATAAATAAAATATGTAGGCGATTTTTCTTTGAGAGTAGAAATAAATTAAAAAGCTAAATTATTATATGTCAAAGGTTATAAAATATAAATTCATGTATCAGTACACGATACAAAAACAAAATGCATAATAAAATTTTATATTTTATATTTTATATTTCAAATATATTAATATTTATTAACTTTAATATTTTATATTTCAAATATATTGATATAGATTTTTTAAATATTCTTACTATGTTTCATGTGGAATTTAAGCACAAGTTAAGTAATGAAATTTAAGCTAAATTAAATGAGCATGTGCGTTATTTAAACTTTATATTTAAATGGAGAAGACTTCTTTATATTTAAATGGAGAAGACTTTAATATATTTATATTCAAATGTAGATTGAAAGCTTTATTTGTATTTTTTTTTTTATATGAATCTAATTGGTTGTGTCGCATGACACTTTATGACATATTGCAATCACATTTTAAACATTAAAGACAAGTACAAATGAGTGATATCATAACAGAAAATTATTTTAACAGTGGAAATGAATAACCAACCGTAAATTGTATTATATGTGTAAAAACAATGATATAGATTGAATGATATAAATTGAATTGTATTAGAGTAGCCATAGAAATAAAGTTGTAATTACACATAAAATATAATTGTAAATGATTGAACAATTGGAATATAGGTGTGCTAAGATATAGTGTTTACATCTAAAAGGAAGTCAATAAATCAAAATATTAACACATTTAAAAAGGAAATATGTCTTTGAAACATGTTGCTTTATATTTCAATATGTGATATCTCCGTGAATAAGCTTGGAAAAAACACAGAGAATGAGCTTATAGTAACAAATAACTTGTCAACCAAAATATTCAAGTATAAAGTATAATATTTTGGCAATTCTGAAAGTAGAGGAGTCGGAATGAAATATCTGTTTTT